ATAGATATTTCGCTCATTTTTATCATCTCTTTTATGTGACACTTATATTATAGTCTCTGGATATTTATCACTGGTGTCCACAACTGTCATCTCCCTGTTATTGTGTACTATAATATGCTTTTCAATATTAGTCGATGAGTTGGCTTTACATGATGTCGGCGCCCGGGTTGGTGTCACTCCTCTAATCAGACCCGACGACAGGATTTTCCTAAACTTTTTCGACTTTTTTCGCTTCTTATTTGTCTTATTTGTTCGGAATCGGTGTGCATTGGATAATAATATTATTAAAATGATCCCGGCATAAAATACGGCCACAATCTGTGCGATAAACAATATAAATGCAAAATATCAGTATAATTCTCACATATTATTCTTGAGTCTATTTTAAAGAATTTCATTTCATTTATGTCAACCTAAACCATATGTGCATGATCATTTGCCTTTTTATAGTATTATTTATTGGTATATTATGCAATATCATTTATCAATTTATTTTCCATCACCTCTAAATGCATTCATTTATTTCAATCAATGAATCGTTGGCTAATAAATACTAATTAATTAATGTTTGTGTTAATGGTATTGCGTTAGCATATGTTTGCGTGTTATGTTTGCATTATAATCCGATTAATGAACTATTTTCTGTCTGATAAAAGCATTCAATGGCACCATTAGCTGGCAATCCTATCATCCTTTCATTTTATAATCATATTTTTCATGACTTATTGTTAGAGTCCATACGGAAAAGAAATTTTTATTTTATTATATTTTATTTCACTGAGCATTAAATAATGTTATAACTTTTATATATTATTAAATATAAGTACATAATGCAATCATAAGATGTTCACTAAATCGCGCAAATACACATAAAATATAAAATAATTATATTTTTTATATCCAAAGATTTAAATGCAATTTTAGAAAACTTTTTTCCCATTACACTCGTCGCCAACATCCCATTCCCCAGTTGTTATGAAAATAAGATTTACTTTTATTCCCACAAAAAAGAGCTAAAATATAATAAAACACAACCTACTAGTCCAGCGGCACCGGCAGTGGTGGCACTCAAATTGACTTAACATCTAAGAGTTTCCACTATTTTTTCATGAAATATATTCTCTAATCAACAGAAAATTGTCAAACGGCTTGAGTAACTACCAGTGCCTACAAAACATAGTGGTATATAAAAAGAGACACAAAAATAATACCCTAATAATGAGTTCCCAGAAAAATAAAGATCAGTTGACTTAAGGCTATTGTTGACTGTTTTTTNCAGAAAAATAAAGATCAGTTGACTTAAGGCTATTGTTGACTGTTTTTTGGGGTAAAACTTTAATTTTCCTGTTTCTGCCATTGTTTTGCAATACCGACACGACATATATAAATGTTAGGAATATATTCTGCGACAATGGATACGAGTGTATGTACTTTAGCTCAATATTAGTCTGTTTCTAATATTAAATGAGGATTCTTTGCATCTATTATATAATGATATCATTAAAAACCTTTTTGCAAATAAACTAAACAGAGATCTTTATGCAAATATAATATGTTAAGACTTTTTTACTTTATGTTGCTTTAGGTCTACGGTAGGTTTGAAATATGATATTATTTTCTAACGTGTATAACAAATGTACGAATTTATTCTGTAGTATATTCTGTTACATGTATATAATAAATCCAAATTAATATTAAGTAAAATCTCTATTATTCTAGAGTATATTATATTGCAATTTATTTAATTAATAGAAATGTGTCTGGTGTCTATTTTTGTGCCCTATTATGCAATATGTTTTTTGTTTTAAGAAGTAAATATGAAATCAATATTTAATATCAACTTATTTTGCTTATATTTTCATCATTAAAAAATTGTTGATTTTTTTATTGATTTTCATTTTCATAATTGTTGTCAATATTTTTATTTATAACATGAATAATAATGTATTAAATGGGAAATTGTTTGCACAAAATTGACGGAAAGAAAGAGAGAGAGAGAGAGCAAAAATTTTCTCATAAAATATTTCAAAACTATAGAAAGTTTTATAGCAAACAATTTTATTAGTTTTTTATTTATTTATTGTGAATGGGAGCAAAAAATGCATTATTTTCTATATTTACCCAATGGCTGGAATTTATATATTATATATTTTCGGGGATTATCTATATTTCACTCCTTTTTGATTAAGAAATAAAGGGAAATAAGAAAAATAAAAAATATTTCATTTAATTTGAAATATTTTCTCAAACCATTACTTATGGCAAACACAGAATAAGTGCTTCAAAGCTACCAGCGATGAAGGATAGGGAGGGGATCTCTACGAGCGAGGGATACAAAGTAATAATTTTATTGCACTTAACTTTATGTTATACTACATTATATTCTTATATATATAATATATATAGTGATGGAAAAATGTTTTAATGGACTGAAACCCACTGTTCAATACAAATAAAATAAATTTTCTTATGATTTCTATATTCCACTCACAAATGCATTACATTTTTTTCACTCCACACAAACACATTGCTATTTTGGACCCAAAAAAAATAACAATCAATATATGTGATGAATCGTGAAATGAGATTTTTCTGGTGCCATACAATACACACACATTACTGGCCTATCAATGCATGGACTCTCCCTTCACACACAGTGACTATACATTGTATAAAATACAGATTATTAACTCAGTTTATAGCGCAAAACACGCCATAAAGGATAAGATAACCTAAGACATTTAAAACTTGTGAAGATATCGATAATACCGTTTTTAGTGTTCATTCACAGAATATTCTGTTAACCTTCCAATGGTTAGCCTCAAGTCTTAGACACATGACTGTTGTGTCCGGGAATGACATTCTCTACAGATTATTCTGTACATGTGTTAACTCTAATAGGATTCTCTACTAACCATTGAATAAATAACAGCATCCATACGCTGTCCGATCGCGTTTACGTTGAAACTGTTGGTCACATTCTGGTGCTGTTTGACTCCATTACCCAATAATATGTTGCAATACGCCAGTGGTAACCTGCAGATTAAGATATATACAGGGAGATATATATAGTGAATGATAAACACAAATAATATAAATGGTACACACAGATACTAATATATCCATTGATTTATGACATTAATCACGCGTTTTAGTGTTTATATACACAGAATCGGCATAAATATTATATAAATCAAATGCATTGATAGAGAAATTATGAGATTTTCATTTTCTCTATAGTATTGTCGTGTCTTTTCATATATGGGAAGTGTGTGTCACTGATATGTAACATATTTTATGTCTAATAATTGAGTCAAATATCGCGTTTTGTGCGGTATTTCCTATTCTATTGGATTCTGTAAATTTTGAACACTTCTATAGCTATTATGGCTTTTTAGTGTTCATTCACAGAATATTCTGTTAACCTCCCAATGGTTAGCCTCAAGTCTTAGACACATGACTGTTGTGTCCAGGAATGGCATTCTCTACAGATTATTCTGTACATGTGTTAACTCTAATAGGATTCTCTACTAACCATTGAATAAATAACAGCATCCATACGCTGTCCGATCGCGTTTACGTTCAAACTGTTGGTCACATTCTGGTGCTGTTTGACTCCATTACCCAATAATATGTTGCAATACGCCAGTGGTAACCTGCAGATTAAGATATATACAGGCAGATATATATAGTGAATGATAAACACAAATAATATAAATGGTACACACATATACTAATATATCCATTGATTTATCACATTAATCACGCGTTTTAGTGTTTATATACACAGAATCGGCATAAATATTATATAAATCAAATGCATTGATAGAGAAATTATGAGATTTTCATTTTCTCTATAGTATTGTCGTGTCTTTTCATATA